TTTTTTTTTTTTTTTTTTTGCCTTTTACTTTTTAATTCATTTTATTGAACAAAAAATAAAAATATTTAAATTACCCTATAAACGATTCATAAATAGCAGTAATAATAAGTGATTTTCTAAACAGCTATAGCTGAATATGGAAAAGATTTCCGGGGTACTACAGATGAAAATGTGACTTTTAGAAATTGTGAAAAAACATACTGAAACAGCAAACTGGGTTTCTGGAACGTTTGACGCTAAAATGGGTTAAATTTTATTTGGTGAACAACCAATCTTCAGTACTGATATCTGATTTTTATCAACAAATCATTCTAGAATAATGTGTTATTTATATGTCAGTTTTATTGCAATTACTGAGATCATCGCTTTTTTGTGCAGAATTTGGATGAATCTTTAAAATTTCCGACAGTTAACTGCTTAACAATAGAACTTCTTGTTGAACAGTTTCAAAAGATTAACAAGTGGTTTGGTTAGGGCTGTAACCACTAATCTTATCATAACGGTAACAACAACTTCTTCTACTTCATAAAGTGCAGTATGGAAACTGAGGGATAACTGACACTCAAAAGTGCTACCGGATGTTCAACCAAAGTTTGATTTATGCATTCCACCCCATACTACGCATCCGTTACCGTGACTAATGTGATGACGTTGACGGTTTGAAGGTTCCGGATAATAAAATAGAAGGGTAGCTTATAGAAACGGATTTCCAAATGATTCATACTTGTGTTGCCTTTGACGGCAATACGTGTTCTCTGTCAAATACACCATTACATATAAAATTGGTGATACTCACATTTAGCTGCAAAAAGTTTTGAGTTTACGCTAGATAAACAACTTCTTCATTGTCTACTCTTAAGTCAATTTTACCGTCAACTCTTCTTTCCGCGTAATTTTAATTCACAGCTTAAAAATACTAAAGTAGTTGTTTCCGTCGAGACTCCTACTTTATTTTCAAAATGACTTATGGTTACCAGCTTCAATCATCTTTTACCATCTCTGTTTCCCTTGATCATAACATTTAACTTCATGGTTTTGCCACCTAAACACTTGAAAACAGTTTTGATAAGTCTCGCATTGTCAGAATTTAATTGTAATGAATTTGTATATCTGCAACCACGACGCTTTTACATTTAGTCGTCAGAGTATTTTCACAAAAATGATTACAGAACAGAATTTCTTTTTCTGATGGTGACAGTTGCGTCAATATTTTATACAGAAAGTTATTGAGACACCGTAAATTAGCTGTCTAATATTCCTTTCAGTTCCAGCTTAAATAAGCAGTTTTCAATTTTGACGATTCATTTTTGATTTCGGCTAGATATTCTTAAAATAAATTTAAACAAAGTCTTTGTTTTGACTGTCTGCTCTTGTTGCAAAAGAAATTAAAACGGCTCCGATACAGGCCTCATCAATAAGAATTTGATTTCTGCCTAAATCTTCAACTATGGTTCAGCCTAATCTGTTTTTATTGCTAATTATCATTTGTCGTTTGACTGCCTGATTGGATGAGGAGGGTAAGGAGGGAAGAAGGGGCAAGACTATTTTTTGATTGAATTACTAGCTATCTGCGTTTGATTACTGATCAATTTTTGCTTATCTGTTAATGTCTAAAAATGATTGTTTCTAATAGTAGCAGGCAGATACGTACATATCTGCTGAAGTCTGGATGAAAATCTGTGCTTCAATGTATAGATTGAAATAAACCTAATTTATTTGCTTCAACATATAACAAACAGAGTTATATCATAAAAATTTTTGTCTCTTTTTTTCTTCTTCTTTTTTTTTTTTTT